TTTACTAGTGTGGTGTGCTGAGGTAAACCTTGTAGCAGTGTCCTCAGGGGTGTTGTTGGCTAGAAGGTTGCTGCCGCTTGGAGAGCTGGGTTTGGCATGGTCCAAAGTCAACATAGTTCAGTTAAATCCTGTACATCAATGTGCTGTAAATGCCAGCAAAGCTTTGTTGGGGAATTACACCCCTGGTGGAGCCTTGCTGGTCCTTAGAAGATAATTTCTTGGAACTGAGCTTTGAGGGGTGTATGATGATGTATATGGTGTTTGGTTCCTGGGCACAAAACTTTATCATAAATAATCAAGCTTTAAAATCCTTGTGTGAGTTTTTTGTCTGCACACACTTTGCTTCCCTGCAGTGCCAAGTGGAAAATTCCATGTGTATTTCAGTGACATGTCTGGATAGGCCATTCTGGTGCTTGGGGCATCCATGACTCGTGGGGCTAAATGGAAATGGGAGCTGTTGGTGTCAGTCTTGTGAGGACTTGTGTGGAAACTTGCCCAAGGACAGTTGATGATTATCTGATTTTCTTTTTTTTTTTTTTGGAGTTGAGTATCTTGAAAAACAGATCTGAGTGTGTAAAATATAGGAGTAAAGCTGTTGTACTTCAACCACGCCTAATAGTAAATCATTAATTACTGTGCTTTGTGACACCTTGGTAATTGCTTTGCTTGTTTATCAACTAGCTTTATTTTCATGGAAGTACACTTCAAGATTGGAGTATTCCAAGTCATTTTATCTCAGACTGTACTTGTTTAAGGCAACTCTGATTGTCTAATACTGCTTACTAATGAAATAACTACAGATATTGGCTGTGAAGTTAGTTCTGTTTTAAACCCCCATCAGGTGTTTATTAGTGTATAGTGTTCATGTTGAACAAGTTCTGCTTTCCAGAAGTGGAGGAATACCTGGGAAGTGCTATTTTGGTGAGTAGGAACAGACATGTGCATGTACAGAATCACTTGGAGTGTTATTATGCCAATAACTACCTGGATAGGTTATTGTCCATTGGTTTTGGTTTTATACACAAATCCTTCTGGAAATTGTTGGAGATGGGAACCATCTTTGTCTTAACTCTGTGTAACCTTTGGCTGTATTTTCTCTTTTCTCTAATATTTGTGAATTAACAGATTGCCTTTGAAAATCTACAAACCCTGTCTTCAGACTATTTCTTTCTTAAATTATACTCTAGTCTTACTCAACTACTGCTGCTAGAAATTTGCAGGAAGCCTATGGGTATTTAAAAATTTTTATACAGCTGGCAAAAAAGCAAAAAGCCCCAACCCTTACTGGAGTGTATTTTGCATCTTGTAGAAGCTTCCCAGGTTGATTTGTCTCCTGTAGCTCTGATAAGTGATGTGATCTTGCTCTTAAAATAAGAATCTCAGGATTAAACTATATGGGAAAGCTGTTAGACTACATTTTTATCCTTACTCTAAGCCCAGGTTCTGCTAGGAGAGAGTTCAAAGCAGGCACTTGAAATACAAATCTGAAAGCAACAGGCAACAACTGAATTGGAGGAAAACCGACCTGTAAATTTCAAAACAGAACCTATTAAGGGAGAGACTCAATAAGCTAAATGTTTTTGGCATGTGTGGTATTGCTGCAATTATTTTAATTGAGCTGAATAAGAGCAAAACATGGTGAAACGAAATGTTTTTACTTTATTCCAAGTTGTATTTCCCACTGCCGAAAGAAACCTGTGATAGTTTCCTTTGTGGTTGTGTTTGTGTGGCTTGTTAAAATGTGCTTATTTGCTATAGGATGAAGTCAGAAACGGAACAAAGAAATTCATTGAGTGCTTCTGGGTGTCATGTGATGGCGTGACCAGGGAGAGCTTGTACCAAGCTGAAGCCAGCTGGAGTGAAAAAGCAAAGCATCCCCCCAATAATTATTCAAGTTAAATGCAAATCCCAGTAAAATGGGTTTAAGTCAAAAACTAATGTTGTTTCAGGTCCTGAGGCTTGTTCATGAGGCAAAATTCATGCTTGGGTAGTGGTAGTCTATAACTACAGCAGTAACAAATTAGGCTCTCAAAAAAGGGCACTGCAGTTTCTTCCAGCCCCTTTGTCAGAGGGTCATGATGATATCAAAGAAGATTCAGTCACTAATTTAAGTGTTGACAATCAGAGTCACGTTTTTTCTTTTTTTTCCGTCTTTTTAGCACTTGATTCATCCACTATTTCAGCCTGTCTTTTGATGCCAGTGTGAGAGCAGAGACTTCATGGGCAGCTTTGACCCTTCACTTTGACCCTGCACCTTTGTCTCTATCAGCTGCTGTGGCACTTAAGCCTTGTCCTCTCTACAGGTAGAAAGTTTCCTTTTATTTTCAGCACTTAGTCCTCTGGTGACTTATTCTGTTCCTGGGCTCTTCAGGGCACACTGGTCACACAGCAGGAGCAGGGCTGGTAAAAAACATCTTCACCAGCACTGGTGTCCTCTGGAAATGCGGGATAACCTGTTGGCTTCTCTCTGTTAAAGTCCTCAGCCCTGATGTCACAGCAATACTCCCGGTCCTTTCTGGTGCAAAATGGCTGCAGCAGGTTGAGAAACTTCTGGTTTCAGGTCTGGGTGTTTGTAGCAAAGGTCTGGAGGAGCTGAGGAGACCTTGTCAAAGGACTTGAGTGTTGTTGCCAAAGTAGCGTGTTTTGTGTGAGCTCCCGGTAGCTGTGAAGGAAGGTGCACAGTTTGTCAGGAAAGGTTCTCACGTCGTGCTGGATGCAGCAGACAAATCTGTCCAGCAGGAATACACGTGTCTCGCTTGCAAACAGATGGCTCCTCTCTGTGTGCAGTCAGCAGTTGTCTTTGCAAGGTGCCAGGGTGGGATAACCACGGGCAATAAGGAGCAGAGCTGCATAATGGAGAGCGCCAATGCGGAGAAATCCGAGCCGCTGGGACACGGAGTCAGGCTGCCCTCGGTGGAACGCACGCAGGTTTTGGAGCAATGTGTGAGTGCTTGGCTTTGCTGATCCTCACTATGTAAGGTGTTACAAACTGATCTTGAGATGCCCAGTGCAAAATAGGACACAAAGGACTGTCTGTTCTTACTCTGTTGGCTTTTATTTGGATTATTAAAATGACTCAAGGATGTCTCTTGATTGTTTTGACTAACCTACTTGGTAGATCTACAGAGGTTAATGTTTGACAGGTTTTAAAATCTTGATGAAACTCGATTCCATGCAGTTAGTTGGGCTGAACTTGGCAAATGGATACTCATAAAATACTGACCTTCAATAAAGTTTATATTTTTTTGCTGTGTATTGTTTGCTCAGTTTTAGTGCATGGAGCATTAAGGAATGTGGGTCATGTGGAATGGAAGGTGCCTTTGCCCTGTTGGAACTTAGTTTACATTATGAAAATATTTAATCAGACTTGAATCCTTTACTCTCAGGGAAATCAGTTTTTGGCTGATGCAGTCACTACTGCAGTGTTATGGCCCCAAAGCATGCAGGCCTTGCTCGGGTTTGTAAGGGATTTGATTAAAACATCAAATTATTTGCTATTAATACATTTAGATATCCTGAGTAGCTTTAGAGTATAACCACTTCATAAAGATAATATTTGTAAATACTTAATCTTTTTAGATATCATCAGTCTTTTCAGAAGTTGGGGGCAGTTTTCCATAACCACAAAGAACCATGGAGAGCTTCAGTGGAAGCCATGGAGTGGTCAGGTGTTACCAGGTGTTACCAGGAGTGTGATACTTCAGCCACTTGCTATGAAGTCATCTTGATAAGACAGAATGCCTTGCATAAGAGTTGGATTCCCATGTAACTTCTGAAAGATCCATCTGCTAGCCTGCTTACTGAAAATAAACTGTAGAACCTGTATTCTGAAGAAGTGCCTTTTCTGCCATGCTACCTGTGAAGTGGGGATTTCTAAAACCCTTTTTCTACCATGGTTGAGTACAAAAGCTTAGGTAAAACCTGTCAATGTTTGATAGAACATGTTGCACGTATGGTAAGTGGTTACTAAAAGTGATTTCATAAATTGCATATGCTTTTGGCTCCCTTGTAATAGCTCCTTTGCTATTTGCATAGCTGACACAGTAAGTCTGACAGAGGATTGCAGTGACGTTGCAATGCCTATAAATCTTCCTCTTTTGTCTCTGGATGAGATATTCTTGTACTCCTTCAAGTGCTTCAGTCATTGGATAGAAGATGTTTGGGAGAGTGTAAAAAGTAAATGCAAAAGCCTGCTCTTGTTGATACACGTGTCTTACTAATTTCTTAATTTATTCATTTAGTTGAAAAAGGAGCCTGTGGTTGAGAGCCAGATCTCAGCACTCATCTAAAACATTGCAACACAGAATAGCAATCACAGCACACACTGTGCCTCAGCAATTAGTAACAGGATGCGTGCTATGGAAAATTCAAGGACACAAATCCAAAGGTTGTACAATACCTGGTACCAGAGTCTCTTCCCAGATAGTTTCCTGGTTTGTTGCTCCAAGGCTGTCACGTTTCTGCATTTCTGGTGGGTTTTTTTGCTGCTTTTCAGTGTGTGGGTCACTTAGTAGTACCATGCTTCCTAATCTTAAACTGCAGTTTACTGCCTGAAGGGAGCTTGTGGGGCTGGTTTACTGTAATGCTCTTAAAGGTTAGGGACTAGTATTCTGGATTGCCTGTAGCATATGTACAGCGTAGCAAACAGTATTGCAGATTAATAACATGTTGTACAATTCCCAGCTAAAAGGAATGGTTAGGATGCAAGATTTAGCTTGAGGATCATGGTCTTCCTTACTGTCATCTGTTATGCCACTAATTAAAACCTTCCTGTCTCAATGATAAAATTATTTTCTGAGATTTGATGTTGGACATAATTTCATCAGTGCATTTCCTCACATAGTTAGCATTTCTGGGTGCTCAGAAAAATGCTGATGTGGACTGCTCTTAAATCTTTAAGTACTTGGGGAAAATGTGAACAATTGGAGATCTTGAAGGATGTGTAAAAAGGAAGAGTTTTTTGCTCTGGTCACTTTTTCACAGTGTGGAATCAATGCACTTCATGCGTGTTTGCATGTGTGTCTGTTTTGTCTTGGCTATCAACTGCATGTGATCAGCTGACATGGCTAAGATTTGGGTTGAGTACTTGTATTTTTAGCATGGCATGATCCTGTACTCAGTATAACCTTCTCTTTGCCTTGAAATATTTTCTTTGTCTTTCAGCCTTATTCTTAACTGCAAGTGCCTTCTGTTAGTCATTCCTGGCTATCTTGGGCTTGATAAAAGGCTTTGTTTACAGGGCCTATGGTCGTGCAACCTGGGTTGCAGGGCTTGGCTCTGTTTGTATAACTGAGGTGTTGACAGGCCTCTGGAGGATGGGTATCATGTTTTACCTGTAAAACTGTTTTTAATAGCAGCTAAAGCAAACAGAACTGCACATGTAGTAAGTTCTTGTCAATGGGGTTTGGAGTAGGCAGGGCAGGGCTGGAGTGGCATTGAATTGGGTAATGACATGTAACAATCTGAGATCAGTGGTCATTTCTGTTTTCATGCTTTTCTCTTAAGACCAAGAGTCAACCATAGCAGCTGCTTATGTTGTTTTTCTTGTTTTTTCCCAGAGGCAGTTTGTAGTGCTCTCCATGACCAGTTGTTCTTAAGCTTCCCTCAGCAGTTCTCTTGCTATGCTTTCAACCATGTGTCTCTTCCTACAGCTACAGTACATCTGATCTTAAGAGAAATAAACACAGTTTGTGTTTATCTGTGATGAAGCCTGCAGTTGGGCAGGGTAGAGTGAGACAGGCTCCTGAGGTGACACTGCCCTGCTCATGATTCCAATTTTTGGCCTCGGGTGGGATAACTGAGGTCAAATACACCTTAGTGTGGGAGAAAAGCAACTGGCTCTGGAGCCTGGCATGGCTGGTTGCTGTATGTAACTGAAAACTGGTCAAGGTCTCTCTACCTATGTGGAAACTGGATCAGGCCTGCAGCTTTTAATGCAAGTTTAGGTACTGGTTAAATACATCTTTCTTTTGAAAAAAAAGGGAAAAATTGTTTCTGCCTTGTTGTTCCAATTGGTTCAGACACTTATGTCGAGTTTTGCAGAGTTTACAGGTCCAAGAGCAGAGTTTGTCTTCTTCCTTCTAAAATACTGTATGTTGTGTAATGAGGTGTAGTCAAGGGAGGGGGGGCAATAATGAGAGCAAGAGGAAGGAATAAACCTGCATGTTGCCACAACTGTGGCAATTTGGAGTATGCAGGGTTTGCTGAAGTGTGTCCAAGTCTCCAGTTTCTCCTTGCTTAAAAATATTCCTGGGATGCACACATCAGCTTGCCGTTTGGGCAGAGTCATTTCATTGCTAATTAGCTCTCAGATTTGGGCTTGCAGAGGTGGCAGCCTGTTCCTTTAACCTGTGCTGTCTCTGTGAAATGGTAATGGGTAATTTGAGCCCTTTGGGTAAGGTGACAGTGATCAGCAGCTCACAGATTGCTCTGCTGCTGTTTGGGATGAAGGGCACCTTTCCCAGCAGAGGTCCTGCTCAAACTGCCCAGGTAAACGCAACAATCCTTAGCAAATCTAAAGCAAGGCTGAACGGAAGGGAAGAACTTAATAAAGCAAGTTGGATGGCTGAACTCAAGCTCTGTACGACTTCTTTTGCTGCTTTTGGTGTCAGGAGTGTTCTTGGTTAGTGGAAAAAAAAGACTCTTTATATCCTGGTGTGTTAGTGCCTGAGAACTGTGCAAACTTTTGAGTAGTGGTCAATGTGGGAGCAGCATTCAGGCTATGCTGGATGAAGGTGAGTGAGAGCCTCTTCTGCTTCTAGATCTCTCTATGATGGAGTGAAACATGGACAATGGCATTGCTGGCTTGAAAATAGCTAGTTCTGAGTTTCAGAAGTGGCAGGTAGGCAGCCAGGGGTGTAAAGCAGAAAAAAAACCCTCAAACGTGCCAAAAAGTTCTAATAACGGTGATTAGCAGATTATTAAGGATTGGCAGCAAATCTAAATGTCATCTTGGATGTGCGTTCCAGGACTGTAATTGGCTGTTACACCAATTATTAATTGGAATTTATCGAAAGTAATTTAAGATGGATGTTTTTATAAATCACATTAAGTCTTAATGTTGAAATTATTATTCTGCAAGTCAACTGGCACTACACTTGTTTCAATGTCATGCAGTTCATTTCCACATTTTCCAGCCTTTGAGTATCAGAGCTTTGTGAAGAAGTGGGGGAGAGATCCTCCCTCCTATTTTTTTTTTTCTTTGCAAAGTCATTGTTTTCTGTGTAGTCACACTTCTTCTTGTAGGTCCTGCTTGGTCCTTCTGGGTGAATGGAAAAATACTTCCTTAAAACAAATAAATCATGATTTAGAAGTGCTTTGGTCAGCTGAAAACCTCTCCAACAGTCTGACTGTCAGGAGTGTACTTGATTTTCTGTAACCCTTTACAACTCATACTTTCTCTTTCATTTGAAAACCCCCACATACAGGTCATTAAACCTACTCCAACAGCTACTCATTAAGTTAAACATTAACTTCTTGGCATGTCTTTAACTTTTGCTTGCTGTGCTCCAATAGGAGAACCCTTGCAATCAGCAGTTGCTTTCACTATTACAAAGCCACTCCACATCTGATTCTTCTCCATAGCTTTGTTTTTAGGGCCTTTTGGCTGAAAGGAATGGCTTCAATTCAATGATCATTTTGTGGGTATTGTTTGGTTGGGGATTATGTTATGTTTTGGGGGTGGTTTTTAAATGTGGGCAAATTTGGGTTTTCCTTTTCACTCTGTGATAAAAGGATGTTGCATGCCAGCTCATACTCAGAAATAGTCTTGTTTAATGGAGGCAAATCTGAAGAAGAACTTAAGACAGAGGTACAAAATGGTTTTATGTTGCTAAGGATCCTGGAGAAATGCATCATTCTGTGTCTCTGGGCCCTTCTTTCCTGTTCTGTCAGTGCACCTGGCAGTTCTTTTTCATGCTCCTGCTGTGTGGAATCGGGAGGCAGTTGCATTGGACGTTGATCCTTGTTATTTATTTTGGCAAGTGATTTGTTCTGGGAGTTCACCACTGGAGTGTGGCTGGGAGTTAGTAGGGAGATGGCCTGAGCTCTAGTTGTGACTAGCTGACTTCCAGCTGAGCACCACCTTGGCATTGTCCTGACCCCTATAAAGCCTTCTGTGCCTGAGCTTTACTGCTTGCTGCTTTGGGAGAGGAGCTGAATGAGAAATTCCCCCTGCAATAGGCAAGTCTGTCCCGGTGGGAATACCTGCTGTGCTGGGGGCATTTGGAGTGGTGAGTGTCTGGGACAGAGGCTGGAGCTGAGCGTGGATGGTTGTGTGTTGATGGCACCAGGCACCCACCTATTCCCCAGTCTGCCAAATGGGAATTAGGGTCGGGATTAATTGGCTTACAGAATGCTGTTACCTATTGCCCTTGTTCCTGCTGAATTCAAACCTGAGCTCCCTGCTTCTGTTGGGCCAGGGCATGAAATGATGAGGCTGCAGGTTCCTGCCAGAAGTTCAATAGAAGGTCAATGCCACATTTCCCAGTAAAAATGTCACTTAATCGACATTTCTTTAATAGCATCATGTATTTAATGTCTCTATGGCTTGGCAGGTCTTGTACATATATTTTCCCGCTCCCGTGGAAGGTGCTTATGTTGAAAAGAGGAGTTGCATAATTGGTTTTTGAGAAGTGATTATTGCTTTACCAGTTCTGAAGGTACCATGAGGTACAGACTGCCAGGGAAGTGTGTTGTGTCATCTCTTGACACTGATACACTGCAAGAGGATAAAAAATAATGTTTGGTAACCTGGCAATGTAACTAAAACCATTTTTCATATTAGTATTTATATTTCCTTCACGAGGAGTTAAATGTCCAATGTGATTACTGTTTAAAATTTGGCTGCCAGGTAAGTGTGGGGAGAGGAAGTAGTGGGGAAATGCTGTCAACATCCTAGGGAAGGATAGCTGTAGTTCCCATGGGTTTTGGTGGCATGTGTGTCACCCCAGCCATGGAAAATATATGCCTTAGGTCTAAGGATTCTCTTCTGTGCTGTGCTCTGGCCTCGTATGAGATGGAAGTAGAGCTGGCCTGTGGCAATGTGTTGGATCATGATGAGCCCTTAGATTCCTGTAACCTTGGATTTCTGCTGCTGATAAAAACATAACTGAGTTTCCCAGTCCTGCACCTCCATTCATAGTTTTGTAATATTGCTCTAGTTGACAGGAGCAGTGACTCAGTACTGGGGGAATGCTTCTTGCATGGAGAGATGGAATCAATAATGGGATTTTTCCGGGTTTGATGAATCATTTTTCTTGCATGTTTCATTGGAAAACCATATTGGCTTGCTTTTTCTTACACCTCTCTTAGCTAAGGAGTGTTATCCTCTAGCAAGATGCTGTTCAGGATAACTGAGCATGGGCCAGGGCAGTGGTTCTCCCTCTGCACTTGGCACTTTGAGACCACACCTCGAGTGCCCTGTCCAGTTCTGGGCCCTTCAGCTCATGAACAAGATGGAAGTGCTGGAGCAGTGCTGGAAAGGGCAGTGAAGTTGGTGAAGGATCTGGAGAGCAAGTCCTATGAGAAGTAACTGAGGGGGCTGGGGGTGTTTAAACTGGAAAAGAAGGTGAGGGAGACCCAACTGCTGTCTATGATTACCTGAAAGGGACATATTTCAGAAAATGTACTACAGAGTAGTAGAACTCAAAAAATCCCTTAGACTTTTTACATAATAAGTATATAGGAATATGGTGATTTATAAGTAGTTGTATAAAATGAGAGGCTCTATTTGTTAGCTGGTAACCCATGTAACATTAACTAATAAAGTCCTGAGCAGTCTGTTGTATGAGCATTTTATGACTTATAGGGACATAACAAGGACTGAATAGCAGTGTTATCTGTTTTTATTATTTATAAAGGACACTGCAATAGACTCAGGCTTCCACGTGCATTGGTTTGGCACGAGGGAAGAGCAGATTGTTTGGTTTGGCTTGTACTTGTTTCTCTGTCCTAGGAGGGTGATGGTGACTGAGGAGTTTCTGACATGTCCTCATTGTGCTCTTAAGGCACTTTGCTCTCCTCTGCTGCATACAGCATTTTGAATCACCCAACCACGTGTAAAAAATATTTTCCCTTTCCCCAGCAGTGTGCATTTAGGATGGCAGTGGTATTTTCAGCGTAGGTAGAGCTGGTATTCAAGTGGGGGTTTAAGTGCTGATTTAAGTAGGTTCAGAATCAAGTAACTGTTAAAGTGCTTCAGTGGAAGTTGCAGTGTTCATGTGTGCAGTACTAGCTCCTGTTATTACACTTCTTGCAAACAGAACGTCTTTTTTGGAAGCTCAAAGTTTGTTCTTAGTCAATGGTAGCATCTTCCTACCTGATGTTTTGCTTTCCACCCCTATATGTCTGATGAGCGTTGATACTAAAGCAAAACACGGCATGAATTTACATGTCGTTTTAGGATAAAAGCCCTCTAGCTTCTCTATCCTGTTAGAAAGAAAGTGTTACACTGAAACTCTCTTATGCAGAGTGGAGAGTTGTAGCTTGAAGGAGGACAATGTGAAGCCTCTGGGTAACTCTCAGACCCTCTTCCACTTGCAGTGGAAGTGCTCATGACCATGCAAAGGAAAGGGCAGTGGGCTGAAACTGCAGCATGTAGTCCTGTTGTCAGTGATGTAATGCTCTTATTTGTCCTTCCAGCTATGAAGCCGTACACTCCAGCCTTCATTCTCCTGTGGAGCGCTGTCGGGATAGCGAGGGCTGCCAAAATCGTTGTTGTGCCGCCAATTATGTTTGAAAGCCATCTTTATATTTTCAAGACTCTGGCCTCAGCCTTGCATGACCAAGGTCACCAGACAGTGTTTCTCCTCTCTGAGGGCAGAGAGATCCCTCCATCTAATCACTACAGACTGCAGCGCTACCCAGGGATCTTTAACAGCAGCACCTCGGATGATTTCCTGCAGTCCAAGATGAGGAGTATCTTCTCGGGGAGGCTGACCGCCCTCGAACTCTTCGATATCCTGGACCACTATTCCAAGAACTGCGACATGATCGTTGGCAACCGGAACCTCCTGCGTGCCCTCAAACAGGAGAAGTTTGACCTGCTCCTGGTAGATCCCAATGAGATGTGTGGATTTGTTATAGCCCATCTTTTAGGGGTTAAATACGCCGTGTTTTCCACCGGCCTCTGGTATCCAGCAGAAGTGGGCGCTCCAGCTCCCCTGTCCTATGTTCCAGAGTTTAACTCGCTGCTCACAGATCACATGAACCTATTTGAGAGGATTAAAAATACTGTTGTTTATCTTATTTCAAGGTTTGGAGTCAGTTTTTTGGTTCTGCCAAAATACGAAAGGATAATGCAGAAACACAAGGTTCTTCCAGAACGGTCCATGTACGACTTGGTCCATGGATCCAGCCTGTGGATGCTTTGTACTGATGTTGCACTGGAGTTTCCGAGACCTACGCTACCCAACGTTGTTTATGTGGGAGGAATCCTAACGAAGCCGGCCAGCCCTCTGCCAGAAGTAAGGTTTGCTGAGTTTCACAGTAATTTCTGTGGTTTCTACTTCACATCATGTGAGGGGCAGTTTTTAAACAGTGATTTTTAGGTGGGACCTGTTCTGTTGTTGCTTGATGCAAGATTCCCTGGAAGTCACCTCATGTGGTGGTGAGGGGAACTGTTGGTCACAAATTTAACTAAATGAATTTTTTTTGGATGCAGGAAATATTTTGCTTTTGAGTGAGGTGCTTAATGCTGCACTAGAGGTTAAAGACAGTGCACGCTGTCTTGGAAATCAGCTTTTAACCAAACATGGTTTAAAATGAACATGAGGATCAATACTGAATACTGTTTCTGCTTAAGTCTGCTGGTAGATTATACTAGGTAACTTCATGGTATTGGTGTTTTTATGGTACTTGTTTTTATGCCTCCCTTAGGTTTGATAGTAACTATAAGAATACACGTACATAAGCATGAAAAGACTGTACTGGGTGAGAAATGGAGATAAGAGTTGACATAAATGGCCCCGTGGCTGCTCTCATATAGGGATTTTTACTGTGCACGTGCAGAAAATCATGTTCTGAACTTGAGACTGAAATAGCAGTAGTAACTGGACTGAAGCCAGAAATCCTGGCTGCACAGATTAATTATTAAGTTTGATTACTTCAGTGATCTTTGATATGTTATACCTAAGAATGCCTCTGCTGAGCAATACAGGGCTGAGTGGCAGGCAGAACAATCTCACAGAAAACCATGTTATTTACACTTGTATTTATGCGTACATAAATAGATCTTGAATTGGAGGCCATTTTAATGGACACTTTTGGCTGGATGATAAAAAGGGTTAGGTAGGCCTGCAGTGATCAACAATTTGCTTTTTAAAATGTCTCTTTCAGCCATTGCTTTTGGTATGAAAAGTGCTGTTGTCTCTTCTCCAAGGTGTCATCAGAGTTGACTATGGCAGTGCTGCTTCTAACCGGTTCTTTCCGTGTGCATCAATGTGTTTGTGTTTAGGCAGGGTCAGGTATCCTGAGAAAGCTGACTGAAGGTACCCTTGTGCTGTCTACAAGTCCATCCCTATTTTCCCTCCAGAAAAACTTTGCTGGCTGGATTGAGTTTTTTCCTCATTTTCTGGACTGATACTTGTGTTTTCTGTAAGAGAAAAAAATGTATTTGTGTAATCAATTTGGGCAATAGGTTAACGTTGTCTGTTTTGTGTCTTTTGATGTTCAGTGTAACAGGAGTGACAGTGACCTTGAAACAGACCTATAGGTCAAGAAAATGGGGGTAATATTACAGCTGGGAAAGAAATTATAATGATTTGTGAGCTGAGACATTATTTACCTTCTTTTCAGTTTTATCAGGCAATTAATTCATGATGTTCAAAGCATGAGTTTTCATTGAACATGAGAGGGACCAAGTGAGCACATTCTTCTTGTACCCTGTAATTTGTCCATGCCTAATGCATATTCCCATGGTGTGTATTGTAGGTAAATCATTGGGCAATCAGTTTGTATTTGCTGAGCAATTGGATGAAATCCATGACTGTCCCTCTGTCCTGGCAGATGGAAATTGAGCGCAGGTAGCGAGTGCTGCGGCTGTTCTGTGCTCTTGCTGCATCTCCAAGGCAGCAGCCTTGGCTAATTTATTTCCTGCAGCTTCTAGTTTGGTGCATTAAGGTGAGCCAGAGGCAGAGATAGTTCATGTTTCTGGGCTGGAATTGGTGATGCTTCAGCAGCTCTCTCAAGTAATTTTCTTGTCCATGGACAATGATTAGAAAAGGGCTGTGTGTAGCTGGACACAGTAGCTAAAATTTGCCCACTAAAGCTGTTATTGCAAGTCTCTTGGGTCTCTTGAATTCACCAAAACTGCTTATAAGTAGCATAGTCTACTTTGTCTGCTGGAGAAGTATTGGGAAAAAAATCAGGGATGTTCTTTCAAGTCCAAAATAACTGCTGAGACTACCTGGGCGCCTCAGTAGTGGCAACCCTGTGTTGTCAACCTCTTCCCCCCCCCCCCCCCCAAAAAATAACCAAGTCGTTTGTTTAACCACAATAGAATGCCTACACATAAGGTAAAAGTTCTAACTTCGTTTGTAAGCATCATCTTAAAAATCCAAGGCAGAGAGTGGCATGAAACAGTCAATGAGGCTGTAAAGGTCTTATAGGGTGGCTGTTCTTTCATTCCCAGGATAGGGGACAGCTGCTCAGATTCTGCACGTGTTCCTTGAACTTCTTGAAAGAGAAGTGTAGAAAAGCACAGCTTTGAAGGTAGCATGTAGCAATGGATGCTGAATATTGATGTCATGTAGGTCTGGGGGGGGGAAACCAAGCTGACCCAGCTTTGCTGGTCGTCTCTGTTAATATTATATATTTTATGTATATAAAAATACATAACCTGACCCAGCTTTGCTGTCCCGTCTGCTTTAATATTTCGATCCTAGGGCCCATGCTCCCTGCTGATGGTGCACTTAGCTTGTGTCAGGCATGGTTGTGAGCTGCTGCTGAGCTCTGCAGCCATTACGCTGCAGCCCCCGGCTGTGGCACACGAGCTGCGAGCGAGTCTTTGGGCTTGCCCCGATGCCTCGGGCAGGCTCCGATCCTCGTCCCTGCTGTCCCTCCCAGGCAGTGCCCGCTGTCGGTGTGCGCTTGGCGCAGTATCCCTCGGGAAGTCGCAGTGACCGGCGTGCCAAGGAGGGGGAGCCAGCGGGGAGAGCAGCGGGTCCTTTGGAGGTCACCGCTCATCCCGGCTCCCTGCGGTGCCTTGCAGCTCCCTCCTTGGCATGGCAGGGTCATCCTTACCTGTGCGGGCTGAAGTTCCCCCTTTGGATCCCTGCTGTGGGTGCATGAATCCGAGCACACGCTGTCACTCTGCTCTGCCGTGGTGGCTTTACAAAGCTCTGCGTAGTCGATTCTGTCGGAGCCAGTGTGACATTTTCCCTGGTTCAGTTCGGTTTAGACGGCGCTTCTTGGACAAAGCGTGCTGTGCTGATGTGTGAAAGACAAGGAGATGGTTAAGGTGACTTAACCCATGTGCACGTGGAATTTTTATTTAGTTTCTGGGTGGTGGGTGCAGAGTCCGAGGTTTGTGTGCTTAACTCATAAAACTGTATGCTGAATTATATAGAGGATAGTGTGAACATAATTGGCTTTAAAAGATGAAAAGCTAGAGATGGACTGGATATCAAGTCCTTAAGGTCATCAGTGACTTAAACTATTGCAGGGATGGTATTACCTGGCACTATTTTCCAGATCACTGTCATTAGCCATTAGGAAAATCCCAGGCTCCTCTGCTTCTTCCTCACCACACTTCTCCAGAGGGATCTGAATGAAGCTGGCTTTTTAGACACCCTTTTAAGCAGCAATGGGGAAACCTCTGCTCTGGCATTTATACCTTGTGACCAGGTTGATGTGTACTAGGCATTAATCAGTGTGAAAAAATGTCCCTGAATCAGGGCAGGAAGCAGAGAGATGCTACAAGCAGCTGCCTTGGGAAATACTCAGTCCATGAGTAAATTAAATTTCATGTTGCTGAGAAGGGTGCTCTCATTTTGAAGTAATAAGTTGTCCTTACAGCCTCAGCTGTCAACAGATAATTATAGGAACTTCTTCATTCCTCCATGGACATCTCTTATCTGAGCTTGTTGTTATACAGATGAAAGTCTGTGCAGCAAATCGGTGGCTTTGAAATATCTTCACTGAAAAGTATTTTGGTTGGGGTTATTTTTGTTGTGTTTCTTCCTCTTTGAGCCTTGCAGACAGTAGTATGTTTACTAGGTGTGTTAGCTGATAGAGGTATTTATCTTGAAATAAGAGGTGGAAGAATCAGGAGATGTTTTATTCCTTAAACTTGGCTTTTTTCCTTCTATCAGATTCAAGGACAGCTATAAGCCCTTGCAGACTGTAGCAGTAGATTTTTGTGCATGGCATAGAACCATGATTTTAGTATTGTTTTTTCAAGAATGGGGAATGGTTCTTAGAGATCTGTTTGGACAGTAAATTTCTGGTGATGTGAAGCACATCTAGAGCTGTTCTAAAATGCATGGGATTGTCAGCTGGGGAGGCAGCAAGTCTTGTGAGGATGGAGATGATGCAGCACTGTGTAAATTCTGTACTGAACTGTATGATCGTTTCTTTTGGCTCTGAAATATATTTTAGGTAAAGCTTCTTCCCCCCAGAATTTGATGTTCTGATCCACAGAAAAGTGTTGTGTGAGCTCTCCAGGTACCTGCAGTCCTAAAACTTGGCTGCTCCAGTAGGACTGAGTTGGTGAACCATGTCTGTTCTGCTGCATTTTAAATTTGGGAAGAAATGTGACTCAGCATCTGTCTGTTTAGCACAAGACACAGGAAAAAAGGCTGCAGGGCTGATTTTGGAGCTTGAAGTGTCTCCAGTTGAACTTGTGAGGAAGGCAGGTCCTCCAGGTACACATGCCAGACAGAAAGCTGGCATCCCATGAGCTGACAAAGGAGCACCAAACCTTCAGCAAGCCTGTGCTCTCCATCAAAAAGCATTTTACATTTACTTGGCTCGTGGATTACAGTCTGGGGTGGTTGTTTGTTGAGTTCATGCAGCTTTTTGTATTGGGAGTGGAAAACAGAAATTCCAGACCTTAGATGTTGCATAGGTCAGATGGTGAAATCAGGAAGCTAAAAGCAGGAGCAGTTACTTGGCTATTTTTATTCATACAGAAAAAAAATCAAAACCCCAACACTTTAAGCTACTACTGTAAACAGGCTTTGTGGTTTTGAATGTTCTGATTTATCATGTTCATATGGGACTACACAAACTAACAAGATTTAGTCATTTTGGTAACATGCAGTGATTTAACTGTTTCCTCCAAATTTTGAGGAATGACCTCTATAGAGGACAAATAAAGAATCAGTGCTTTGCCCATATTTCTCCCATTTATAACATAAAAGAGGAGATTGAAATAAATTCCTAAGGGCATTCTTTTTTTCCTGGGTGTATGGGACACCCTTGAGTTTTGGTACCATATTCCTATAATTTGGGTAGTTGGGATCTT